CGGCCACTAGGCTAAGTTAAAGAAAGAATTCTAGGTTTAATCTAACGGTGACGTTTGGATGTCGTATGTGCTTTTCTTGTATGGTGGTATCTCAATGGCTAACAAAATGGGTCCCGCGATGTAGTGTTTTTTCGTTGTTGATGTGAAATGAGGAGGAAGTTTCAAAGGGAAAATATAGTACTCGGATGATCCTCCGTCTATACCCAATATTGTAATTTGGTCTTAAACTCGTGCTTTTGTGACATTTAGGGTCTTCACTCTTCATTGAGTTCGCGTCTTTGTATATGGTTACCCTCTCTCTAGGTAACATTCCAAGTTAAATTTTTGATGAAATGTTAAAAAAAATAATACAAAATAAAAGGAAGAAGAAAGTAATAAGGAGAAAAAGAAAAGACATAACCAGAAACGATCTCGACATGACACAATAATTAATATAGTGGTAGATAATGATATTGAATCCAGTAAAATGATTAGATTTATTGATAGTGTACCATATCAATGGGTTTTTATGATAAATTAAGCACCGATACTTAGAAAATCAATCCTGAAGGCATAAAATAATATAAAACAAAAGGGATAAAAATAAGTAACAAAAAAAAAAAAAACAAATAATTAATTACAAAAAAAAAATTGAACAAATTTCATAGGAATTAGGAAGAGACAAAACTAGAACAAGAGGTAGGGCGAAATCAAAAAGGAGATGAGAGAGGATAAGCACAAGAGTAGGACGCATTGTGGGGGTAAGCGAGGAGGAATGAGTGATAGAAGAGGGAAGGAGGTCGAGAGAAGGGTGTAGTCATAGAAGGTAAAAAATTGTTGAATATATAAGTGGAAGCAACAGGACGTTCGATTGAAATCAAGGTTATGTTTGTGTTTCATTATAAGTTATTTATACTTTCAATTAAAGTCAAATTTTAATTCTAATCATACATTTACAATTACTACTCACTTAATATCCTTACATTTCGTAAAACTCATTATTCGTCTCTTTATAATTTTTTTTATAAACACGTACCGAGATTTTCAATATTATTCCAAGAATGAGTTTTTANCGGCCACTAGGCTAAGTTAAAGAAATAATTCTAGGTTTAATCTAACGGTGACGTTTGGATGTCGTATGTGCTTTTCTTGTATGGTGGTATCTTAATGGCTAACAAAATGGGTCCCGCGATGTAGTGTTTTTTCGTTGTTGATGTGAAATGAGGAGGAAGTTTCAAAGGGAAAATATAGTACTCGGATGATCCCCCATCTATACCCAATATTGTAATTTGGTCTTAAACTCGTGCTTTTGTGACATTTAGGGTCTTCACTCTTCATTGAGTTCGCGTCTTTGTATATGGTTACCCTCTCTCTAGGTAACATTCCAAGTTCAATTTTTGATGAAATGTTAAAAAAAATAATACAAAATAAAAGGAAGAAGAAAGTAATAAGGAGAAAAAGAAAAGACATAATCAGAAACGATCTCGACATGACACAATAATTAATATAGTGGTAGATAATGATATTGAATCTAGTAAAATGATTAGATTTATTGATAGTGTACCATATCATTGGGTATTTATGATAAATTAAGCACCGATACTTAGAAAATCAATCGTGAAGGCATAAAATAATATAAAACAAAAGGGATAAAAATAAGTAACAAAAAAAACAAAAAACAAATAATTAATTACAAAAAAAAAATTGAACAAATTTCATAGGAATTAGGAAGAGACAAAACTAGAACAAGAGGTAGGGCGATATTAAGATTTGGGGGTCCATCTTAAAAGGTCAACCTTATTAAGAGGAGTAGCCCAAGATCTTTATTAATTGATCTGTGTCAACATCTTTATTCGATGTGGGATTATATCCCTTAACGCCCCCGCAAGATG